CATCATCAGCATCATCATCAGCATCATCGTCATCATCGTCATCATCATCATCGTCATCATCATCGTCATCGTCACCATTATCATGTACGTTATCTACGGGTGGGAAATACCTTAGCTACTACGCTATAATACAGGAAGGAATGAAGGGAAAAGGGCAACAAAGGGAATTCATCTGAACTACCGGTAACAGATGGGCATCGTTCCGGTAAATACCAGCCGTCCACTAGGCAGCAGAAAAAGACATTTGTTATACTAATTTATATTACGCTAAGAATTGAGATCATGTTTTGGGGAGAGTTTAAGGGGACGGGGTGGGACAAAGAAACTCACGGGACGAATGCATTTGAGGTCGGCTCCTTGCCGTATCAGCAAGCGTAGCCCACGAAAAGTTATCGTTGTCTTTCGGACACCAATCAGGGAGCCCAGCCGCTCCAACCAAGGCCAACTTCACACTGAGGATCTTCATTCCTCTCGACCAAGTTATCGCTTTTCCACTCATCCCCTTCCATCCACACCCCCGGTGCGCAAATAACACACATCGCAGAAGTCATTGGGCTGGCATGCGAAACACGTGGCCGAGCAATTGGAGCCTGGTGCGTGAGATAACGATGCTGAGCGGTTCAGTTCCTTTTCCTGTGCAGTAAACAAGGCGTCGAACACGCTCATTGCTTACTCGGTGTTCCCACCAGAGGTGAGCTAGACTGCGAAGGCACCGGTGGTCGGACGTAACTAGCCTCTTTATGTCCCCTGATCTAAGGGGCGAAGTTTCACAACCGTACGGTAAGGTCGAACGTACCGCTGCATTGTACACTCCACGCTTCAGGGGAAAGTGATGTCGCGCCGGCGTCATAAATGGCGAAGGTTAGTAAAAGCTCCTCGAGCTTTTGCTATACGGTTCGTGATCTCATCTTCAATCCCACGGGCACTGATACAACTGCCTAAGTTGTTGAATTTCTGAACGATTTCTAGTTGTTCACTACCAAGGGTCAGCGCAGGATGAGGTGCAGGCAAATCATGGAGGAACGCTTTGCACTTCGAGGGTGCGAAGCAAAGCCCGAAGTGACGGACAGCCAGCGCTAACATGTCCAGAGCAGGTTGGCATGTTTTTGAGCTGTCACCGATTAGGGCAATAAGGTCAAGAAGTCGTTCTCCTGTGAGCAGCTCCATGACTTTTAAGTCGTGTACTCTGAACGCAATCTCCATGACGTCGTCAATAGCGAAGTTGATGAGGAAAGGTGACAGCGGGCATCCTTGTCCCACACCGCTGACGATTACAAAGAGCGGCGACATCTGGCCATAAGCCCACACTCTGCCCGAGCTACGCGCGTACAATGCTTGGATAATATTCACATATTTTTCAGGTACACCTTCCTTGAGTAGACAGTCTCAAAGTGCATGCCTATCCACCGAATCGAATGCACCTTTGATATCGAGGAACACGACTACGGTGGGCCGCCAATATATGTTACGTTGCTCCAACAACTGACGCAAAGTGAAGATGTGGTCAATGCAGCCACGACCTAGACGAAATCTGGCTTGCTCTTCACTAACCTGGCTTTCGCGGGTGCCAGTCTGTCTGTGAAGGATGACAGTGGTAATTTATTTGGAGGCAATGAAGATCAGACTGATTCCTCTATAGTTGCCGCATTCCGAACGCTAACCTCCCTTGAAAATTGGGACTATGACGGAGCCGCTCCAATCGGTTGGGCCAGTTTCCTGCTCTCCTAGTTTTACTGGTAACTCGTGTAAATCATCCACAAGAGCAGACCTTCTGAATTTGAAGAGGGCTAGAGGAAGACTATCTGGTTCCGCGGATTTATTTAAATTCAACAGTCCGATCTCACGTTCGACTTCTGAGCGAGAGGGCGGATCTAAAGGGACAGCCCAGGGAGCAGAGCGATCGGTGGCTGGCGAGAAATCTGACAATTCCGATCGATTAAATTTGCTTATAAAGTGATCACCTCAACGCTCCAAACGTTTTGACAATTTGGGTTTATTCTGTCCACTCTCGTCGCGTATAGTCTCACTTACAATGGGTCTCCTGCTGCCCCTTTCCCGTATCACCCGGAATAACTTACGATGGCTACCATGGGCAACGGCCATTTCCATCTCTGAAACCACCAGGATTCGCGGTCTCTCTTCAGGCAAGCACGGAGTTTTTCCCGGAGCTCTTTGCGATTTTCACTGTGTTCGCTTCCAGCCGGAATGTGCCGGCGAGCACCGATAAGTTTCAGAGACTGCGAACAGACTCAATGTATATGTTGGCGATTAAACTTACCACATGAGGATTTTCTTGCTGCTAATAAGGTCTGGTGAACATGAGACCAATGGGCCTCAATTATATCCAGTAGCACTTACTCAGCTCGCATGTCAGCGTACTTTGAAAGGCATTAAGAACAGCTGGCTTCGTCAGTTTGGTGGTGTCAATGCGCTGACAGCGCCGTCGTAGGCGTCCGCCATAACTCATCCGCAGGTCAGCACATACAAGTGCATGGTCGGTGTTTACGCATGTGCTCCACATCAAGCGACAGTTCTGGACACTGCCTCTCCATCGGTAACTTATCGTAATGTGATCGATTTGCGTCCATAGCTGGTTCGAGGCTGGTGGGTGCCAAGTCACTTTTGATGGGTTCTGTGTCGGAAATTTGTGCTCGCAAGAAATAAGTGAGCATCCTCACACAAATGAAGTAACCGCTCGGTGTTATCATTACGGGAGCCTACACCATGATGGTCGCCCAGATGCAGTTTATCAGTAGATAATTATTCAACTTGAGCGTTCAGATCCCCAGCCAGCACTACAGTGTCCGTGCTTTGGGATGAAGGAGCTCGTTCAGTTGGTGATAGAAGTCGTCTTTTACCGACAAATGGATCAGAAATTTCCTTGTTGATCGAAAGTGGAGAGTCCAGGTGGACAACCATCTAACTGACTGGTATCCATCGAGCAGCGGCGTGCCCCAAGGCACTGTACTGGGGCCGATATTGTTTCTGATCCATGTAAACGATGTGCCTCAGCTACTCCAATCACCTTGTGCGTTGTTCGCAGATGACTTGAAGGTGTGGAGAGTAATCCGCACACTCAATGATTGTGATTTACTTCAGCAGGATCTCAACAGCCTCTCGACATGGTCTGCAGAGGTTAACCCTCCGAACAACCCTGCTAAGTTGCAATTTATGAGGTTGGGTAAGTGTGAGCACAGCCGAACGTACACAGTGGCTGGTCAACCGCTGCATCCCGCGTCTTTCGTGCGCAACCTCGGTGTGCTCTCACGTTGCGATCTAAAGTCCATTGACAACACGAATAGGCTGAATAAAAACAGCCTTCGGATGCCTTGGGCGCTCAGGCGCAGCTTCAGCACTTGGTCCGAAGGGATTGCTACTCGCTTCTTCGTGTCGATAATACGACCAATGCTAGAATACGGCTCTCCCGCGTGTTGTCCCATCACGCTGGGAGAGGTAAAAAAAGCTTGAGCGGGTGCAGAATATAGCTACCAGGCTGATTCCCAACTTACGAGGTATGCCATATGAAGACCGATGTAATAAACTAGGGCTGTACACCCTAGCATATCGTCGGCTGAGGGCTGACCTCATCATGACACACCGGATATTACATCTGAATGATTACGCAATGTTGAGACAACTGCTTCATCTGCGCACACCAAGCTGCACGCGAGGACACCGGTACAAACTTATCGTACCGAAGTTGAAGCGGGTCGCCCATCAACTCTGTTTTGAACGCAGAGTGGTGAATGTCTGGAACGACCTGCCGCAGCAGGTAGTAGAGGCGCACTCAGTGTCCGAATTAAAGAAGCTCCTAGCCAAATACTTTGCAGAGGCAAAATATAGAGAGCGGAACGATAAATAAGACGGAAATGTCCAAGCGCGACGAATGATGAAGCTACACAGAGAAAGCTCTACTCGCTGCTTCGAACCAGTATTCAGTAGTCAGAATCATCGCTAGAGTTTGTGGGCGCATAGGCAGTGATGACGAATAGACACTTGTTAGTTCCGCGCGACTTCGAAGTTTTGAACGAGCCAGCCAAACGGATTGCACATATCCGGCTATTACTCGAGATCCAATCAACCAGAGCAACTACAGCTCGGGGACTCATGGCAAGACTACCACCGGCTTGGTCTTTGCTCGAAGCTGCGTTGTCACCGGATGGGAGCAAGGAGAAAGTGCTGCTAATGTCACCTGAAGGGGATCGCAAAGTGAGCACAGATCTCGAGTCTTGCAGACTAATCTCCGATAATCATATATCGATCGAGAGAGTCTCTAATGTTCGGGAAAGTGCTGCTTGGATGGTGGGAAGAAGAAAGTTGTAAACCTCGAAGGAGGTGATAATCTTACCATTTATTGTTCCACATTGCCTCTTTTCTGGAAAAGTACTGTAGCATATCCTAAAAAGAAATCGCTACTGTTTACCAAGGAAGACATACATGAAGCATGACTGCTAGTAAAATTTGTTCATCCCCAAACGTAGCGCAGCGTTCTGGAAATACACAATTCACTTTTATGTAATCCCCCGCATCCATTTGCGCATCAATTGTCAATCGGTAGCAGTGCGGACTCATTTGGCTAGACGCACCCCCCAGATCAGGCAACATTGATACGATAGATGAAAATACTCCATCGCAATGGAAGCGAATAAGATATTTGGGTATACATGCCTAATATGACGCGGTGATCCTTTAGTGTTGCATCCACCGAGTAACGTGTTCCTTCATTACAGTAACTCTCAATGGGTTTTGACATCAACTAAGCCGTAGTACAAGTTTTAGACGGATCTCTGAATATGCAGTACATATAACACAGATAGGTAGAGGAGCGAACGACTGTGACCTTTCCCGTGCCAGCCAGTATTGATGTGATTGACAGATGAGACGCGTATGCATTCCGTTTACCCTAATTTCCATGATAAATCGGAAGGTGTGCCTTGTTTGCAGGCTAAAAGTGAACATCCCACACCCAGGTTTAGATTGGAATGAAACGGATTAAATTTCTCAGAATTGATTACAAACAAGTTTCTTTATTTTCTGTCAGATACTGGTGAGAAATGAGATTAGTATATTTACAGACAAGAATTGTGTGTTGTGGCTCAAGTCAGATACAGACGACCTGCATGTGCGTTCCGCAAATCGGCTTCGTACCCTTGACTGACAGTCCACAGCCCCACTATCTGCAAGAAAATACTTGTTACAGTAAGGTCGGAATCCAGCGGGTGCGCTACTTGTTGATATGAAGCAGCTTTCGGATTTCGTCATAGCATGCGTACGAAACGCTCACGGCAGGTATCACCTTCAACATGTTAGGTCCAAGGCCACGGAACAGACCAGTGAATCCTTCGTGCTTGACAATGTTCCCGAACAGTTTGATGAAACCGACCTGTATGCAAGAAAGGAGGCGAGGTGGGCACAGTTGCGGATTTGGCTCTTTATAGAATATTCGAAACCAGTGAAACCGTATCAAGTTGGATAGTATATTGTTATGTCCAACATGGTGGGTAGGCGCCGCAGGTACTAGGTGCCCGTGTCAAAAATTTTAAAGATGCTCAAGTTTTCAATGGTTCTGTCTTTTGGACGAAGTTGTTTGAGAGTCACAAGTATACCCGAGTTTCGTGGAAGTAAAAAGATACATAGTCGTACAGGGCAATCACAGGCTAGTGCTGAAATGAAGTTGGCTTTTTCGGGAGCTTTTGGATAGACGATGAAGGAATGAAACCTTGCAATGCGGACCGTAAATTAGCGTTGCTGATGGGCTTAAAACCATACTGCTGGTCAGTGAATATTATGAATATGGAAAAATAACAGTAAGGGAGTTACCACTGATAAACTGTGTCGTATGTATTTGCAGGAACGCTTCATGTATGGTGAAACTTTCATGCTAGAGGAGCGGGTTGAAGAATGCAATAAAGCTCGCGAAGTAATGTATCCATTCAAGTGCTTCGAAGCTGCGTTTGTTGGTCACTTTATATCATCTTGTCGGAAGCTAAATATTACTTTCCGGTGACTGTTATTTTGCATATTTCCCACTGTAAATTTTAACGTTAACTCAGTAAAAATCTGTCTTTGCGAGTTTTGGATAAGTGAGAGCCTCATCAAGCAAACAGTAAGTGTGAATTCTAGGTCACCGAAAGAGTGACTCAAAGTACTCGGTTAATGGAACTGGTTAATTCTTGCACAAGTACTGGTACCGCAACGGGCAAGCTGTTAGTAGGGAGGGAGGTTGCAACTTTTCCAGCTTGATCCAGTAACGTTCTTAGGAAACGGCAAACTAAATGATCACAAAGCCGATGAGAACTAGAGAATATTAGCCTCAAAATACAAACGTCATTACAAGCATATTTTGTCAGGCAAATTGTGAAACTTTAAGGCTCTTCTAGGGTGAGCATCTACTTGGTACAATGGAGAACCAGAACGACGCCAACAACTTTACGAATCAGTGCTGACAGCTATTGGGCAGCGACTGGCGCGAATAATTTATGATATATGATAAGTAATGCTGCTTAGCCGAGCCAATAACGCTTGTCGGTGTCTTCTCCACGCATCGAGTATCTGCATGAAATCCAAACCCCTTACGCCCCCGTAACGATAATCCTTCCGCACGGGACACTGAGGATGACCGAGTGTGTTTTGGCATCCCGACTGAGTCGCGTTTCGTGAAGAAGTCTGCGAGTTGTCATACTTCCATCACCTGATCTGATCGATTTGGCTTCCTTTTGGATACTGTTAGCCAGTTCTGTCCGTTTCACTTCAGCTTTCACTTGGCCGTAATTTTCTCCGTCAACTTTGTATACGTATTTGCCTGATGCGATTTGCCGAAAAGAGAATTTGCAACCGTGTTTTCCAGCGGTTTCTGTGCTTACCAGACATCAGGTTGGCTTATCGAGCCAGTTGTAAAAGCTACGAAAGCAAGTGGGTCTACATACACAGGAAGTATCACTGGTTTGTTCTCTAATCATACCAAATCCCCACTACTCATTAGCAATATATGGCAGTCAGCTGCATAAAATCCAAACTGCGAATATGCTCTGGTTCGGAGGTGGGTGTGCGCTTAGAATACCTCGGATACTCATGTCCGGCCAGCGGCCGAGTGGTCTACACCCCTACTTTGCAACCATAAGGTCACCGGTTCGAGTCCGCGCAGGGGTGGGCGTCCTCGAGGCACGCTCGGCCCGCGCGCAGCTGGTGGTGGTCGCGCGGCAGGGAAGCGCCGTTAGAGCGTACCGCTGACACATATCTCGGATATTCATGTTCGCGGACATGCGAAATTGCAAAAAAAGTTGTACCAGAGTGTAGCCAACGAGCACTACAAACTACTGTCAACTAATGATGCCATAGTTTGTGTGGATTACGAGAAAGAAATGCCCGGACACAATACTAAACACTATCTAATCTTAAACTCTATGGGTTGCCAAGAGGTTTTAACCTGTCTTTTAGAAAATAATAAACCAAAAACAATAAAGCAGACCGTTTTCCCTTCAAGAGATTTCGCATGCCACCCAAGACTGATTTCTTCGTCATGTTAGCCCGGTAATTCGGAGCGGATTAATTACTCGGTTTATCCGCTTCCCCAAACGGGTTCGCTCCTGTTCGGTTATTACCGCAATAGATGGGATTCTTTGTTTGCGACGTTCTGTTTCCCACACAAATGAGAAGCGTCGTTACTCCAGTTTTTTGAATGTGTGTTCTGTTTCTCAACTAATTATCGGTGTTACAGAGGTCTTTAATATCGGGCGAATAACAGAGCTGAGTTATTGAGTATCAATGGAAGAGAGATGCTCGTTTTTATTCACACTGTGAACAGCTGTCCGTCAAATAAAACAGTTTGTATACGAAATATTTTAGCGCAAGGGCATTATATAAATGAATAGGATTGATAGATAAATACCAGCTAAGGTAAATAACAGGAGTGTATCGCTTTAAGATAAGCCTTGTTTCGTTGAGATGTAACCATGGTTGCTAAGATAGGCAGCAAATGAGCAACAGTACATGCTACTGAGATGGTAGATAGGTTAATTCACAACATTTACAAACTGACTAATAGAAGAAAAAGTTTTCGAAATGGTCCAGGATGTAGTTTACGGTTCAGCTGTTTTCGGATTTGTTTTACGCAGTGGGAGGCAGCAATCACACGGTTCCGCGTATACAGAAGCATCAAAGATGGTATGTGAAATATTGACGATGCTTTCAATCAATACCCATATCCAGTGGAAGCCTGAAGTCATGCAAGTGAGAGGGAAGAATGGCTCAGAGCCGGTTCACACGCTTGAACCCGCACACATCACCCAGGGATGAGTACAGTTGCCGGCAGTCACAGGATTTGAATGAAACTCGGAGTCTATACGCACAAGGTGTATTTGGAGAAAATAGGCGTATTTTGCAAAAATGATGTGACTCACACATAAATGGTGTCTGATAGCCATTCGCACACATTAAGCAGATGTGTCCAACGCGGTGACTCGATTGCCGTCAGGTCAGCCGGAAAGCTGCTGTCCAGAAAAACAAACCAAGCGGAGCGCGCATAGGTACCAAAATTAAACGGGCTGGCGTTATGTGATCGTAGCAATAAACGGAGACTGACTCCGCTGTGCTGGTAGCAGCATCTTCGCGTGAATGGTCTCACTTGATACTGAAAATTCGGTGGATTGGTCAGAAGCAATGCCGTTAACAAAAAGCGGATCAAACGACATGGAGTTCTCCCAGTCTTTTTCCTCACATTTACCTTTGGGCGGCTAGAATCACTAATTTTTTGACGGAAGTGCGAGGAGCATGTAAAATAAACATCAACCGTGATATCCGAAATTTCTTTTCAAGGCGTATCCGAGTTAAGCGAAACTGAAAAGAAGACTGGATGATTTTTAACCGATTAGTTATTCATCGCAAGATTGGCTGGCCGTTAAAACTGAAACCAACATGGAGCCACTGAAGCCCAAACAGTTATCCAAGTCAGCTGGGTCACTTCACGATATTCCGGCGGTGGACATACAGTCGAAAAATTTTGCTTTCAGATAGCTTGATTGGTGGACTAAGCTTTAGACATCGTTACACAAGAGACTTCGCTATTGCCTGCCCTGCAGGAACACGCAATTCAATGAGTCGTGTCGGTAGTTGCAGTAACCAGTAACCAGTTAACCACAAACTCGTAAGAACAGGGTCGTGGGCTCTAGCGCTTCAGGAGTCAGATGGAACGCAAGGGATGAAACAGCCGCCCTGTTCCTTCTTGATGAGTTTGTGATGGATTCAGCTCGTGCCATTGATTTAAAAACATATTGAAGCTGAACTACTGGTACTGCACCAGTTTCACTGTACTTGCTGAGAGAAAGCAGTCTGCGAGGATCGTAGATCACATTCCGACTAACATGATTGCAAAGAGCACCAAGCTAACTACAAACTCGAGTGCTCCCCACATACTCGATTGCTCTGCGTGCCAAAACCCAAGTGGATCGTTTAGTGAAATTAGAAATAAAGTGGTCTTCGTCTGCTTCAGTTTGCCGAGGCTAAGGCTGAAACCAAGTTTACGCACAGATCTTATGGCCAGCCTCGCCCTACCCTAGTGGGGGTCAGCGTTTGTTTCCCTCCAACCAGAACGCGTTTGAGTTTAGTGACCTTTGACCGTCTTAACGTTCGCCAATTAACTGCACCTTAAATGAACTTGTATGCAACTTAGTCCTTCCACAAATTGAAGTAAACAGCTGAGGACAATACCGGAAATGGCTGAACTCAGTTTATTCTACTGAAATGTGGTTCATTCTTGCTACTTCTTATTAGTTAGTAGTAGGAATTCAAGGACAAAATGGCGCCCAATATTTTATCCGTGGTGACGAACCACAGACCAGTGGAACCAATCTACACCGATGGAGCATAACCACGCGTTTTACCGCCAGCTAGCAGAATGAGCATCAAATTAGCCCACAAGCGCATGTGTTCACTTGACGTTCAGTCGCTTTTCACCAGTGTTCCCTTGGAACAGAATTATGAGCACGCATGTGAATGTATCACGAAAAGCAACATTCGATTGCAGTTGCCCACTGAATTGTTGAAAACATGCTCCTGCTGTGCACAAAAGATATCAAGTTTTACTTTCAGGGAAAAGCATATCGACAGATCGATGGTGTGGCTGTGGGTAGCCCATTAGTCCCTTTGCTAGAGGACGTATTCATGAGTATGATTGGAGAGAAGTTGGACATCATCAAATCCGCAACCTTATATAAACGTTATGTTGTTGAGATATTGTTAACCATAGACTCAGATGATAATATTGCACTTGCAACCAAAGCGCTCAATGGCGTGCATCCGAATCTTACTGTGACATGTGAAACTGCGTACGACAGTTGTCGCCCATACTTAGACATATTGCTCACACGACGATCAGATAGCTCGATA